CACGGCGTGGCTGGACTCACACGAAGCTGAAAGGGCTGTTAGTGATGAGGAAGAGCTGCTTCCCGTGAGCCGCCAGGCGGCCGAGGACGGCGAAGGTCTCCTCCCCTCGGAGGATGTACTTCTCTAAGGGAGGGCAGCTGAGTGAGGGCCGGGCCGGGGCGGCGCAAGGAGGGTGCAGCTGTGGGCAGCACTCCCGAGCACTTACCCATGTCCCGCTCAATCCACTGGTACATGAGGCCCTTCACATGCACATCTCGGATGGCATCCTGGGGGAAGCGGGCGGTGAGGGTGAGGGGCAGCGGGGCCTGGGCCTGCCCGTGGTGTCCGGATCACACCGCCCTGCCCTCCCAGGGGGCAGGCCCGGCCTCACCGTCACGTCCTTGTAGAGGTGGGCCTGGTCGAACTCCAGGCCGTGGCCCAGGAAGTGATCCACCACACAGGAGAGCAGCGCCATCTCGGGCAGGGAGAAGATGTCCATGAACTGCTTGATGGAGGGGCCCTGGGGGCAGGGGCGGGGTTTCAGCACCCCTCACCCGGCCCACAGGCGGTGTACACCCGGAGGAGGCAGCGGTGGGCGAGGTGAGTACCTTGCCGTAGAAGCCACTCATCTGGTAGAGAGGAATGTGCTGGGTGCCCCCGTACAGGTCGACCACTTCCTCATCAGGCACCGGCTGCAGACCCCTGGGTAAATGCAGACGGGTCAGCCTGGGGCGCCCTTGAGCCTGGGAGGTGGGGGGAGACTGCGGCCAGCACTGACCTGTAGGCCGTCCCCAGCTGCACGTAATGGAAGGCATCGATCTTCATCAGGAGGCTCTGGGGTGGGCGGTGGTAAGGGCTCTGAACCAGGCACTACAGCCTCGCCCCCACCCCGACACCACCAAGGCGGTGTTGCGCCCACCCCGAGGAAGCAAGGCTCTGAGGCCGTGGCGGTAGGCACCCAGGAGAACCCCCACCCCCATACCGGTGAGGCTGGATGGGCCTGGAACCCACCCCGCGGCCCCCTACTCACTTTCTGGATGTCGTAGTGGAGGCCCCGGATGGCAAAGCTGGGGTTGTAGTCATACTTTCGAATCCCTTCTGGGTACTGCGGGGGTGGGGGGAGGCAGGCTGGTCAGCCCACTGGCCAGGGGCCCAGGAGTGCCATGTCCCAGCTGGGTATGCAGGTACAGAGCCCGCCTGGGGCCTGGGCCCCTGCCCGGCGAACCACACCTTGTAATGCTCGATCAAGATGTCCCGGGCAGCATTGAAGATCTCGGGGTGCAGCGCATCTGCATACTGGGCCAACGTGTAGTCGTAGTCAAAGCCGTAGACCTCGACATCGCTCAGACTGATCTCGTTGTTGGCGTAGATGGCGGCCGGGTTCAGCAGGCTGCAGACCTCGGGGGGCAGGAGGTCTAGAGGAACGAGGAACGGGGAATGAGGAGGCGGTGGGGGTGAGGAGGGCTCTCATAGCCTCAGCACCAAGCAGTTGACAGGGACTTTGAGGCGCCCGACCCTGGGAGCCCCACCAACCCTCGCCCTGAGGCTGGGCTAAGTCACAGCTTCACAGCTGTGTGATCCTAGTTGAGGGCTCCCCACAACCCACCTGGGCCAGGTCACCGTCTGTAGGCCCCCAGGTGAGCCCAGCCAGGCGGTGATCACCTCCCCCAGCGGTACAGAACTGACTGTGGCTGTGGGTGCTGGCGGCACCCCTCAGGCAGACAGTCACTCTCAGGTGTACAGGTGTATTCACCTCTGCTCAAATCCCTTTCTGTGCGCCCCTGCTCCCCTCCCCCAGATACACACACACAGGAGAAGGGCCCACTCCTCGAGAGGCCAGAGGTGGGGAGGTACCAGGCCAGGGCCAGCTGCCTTTCTGGTGTCTCTGCCTCTGCTTCTGGGCAGCTGCCCAGTGGGGAAGTGAGAGAGGCCTCACTAAATCGGATTCCAGCCGCCTGCCAGCCCTCCTAATGCTGTTTGCCGATCTGGCCAGGGAACATTGCTAATCACGACAGGCAGGCCGTGCGGTCAGATGCTGCGCCGCTATCCAGTGTCCCCTTTGTGATCATGTGGGCACGGCCACCTCAGCCTTGGCGCCTCCACTGCAGGGCAGGGCTGGGTCTTCTGAAGGGGTCCTGGAGCCCAGTGTGGCCAGAGGGACCCCAGGCTCACCTTTGGTATTTCCAGTGAGGGAGGTAGAGGGAGATGGAGCGTGTAGTGGAGAGGGCAGACCAGATCAGCCCCTAGTATCGCCTCAGGGAAGCCACCTTCCCTCTTGGTTCTCAGCTTGTCTCCAGGAGGAGACTAGAAACTGTCCCAGCCTCTGGGCTAGCAGGTGGCCCTCCATGGGGCACGATCTTTGTAACTCCCACCAAATGACAGGAGGGGCCTGTGGCCCCTCAGGGGGACTGGACAACCTGTTCGTGTTGCACACACAGTCTGGCATCCTTGTGGGGCCCAGAGCACCATGCACGTGCGGTGTCGGAACTTAAGGAAGGCATCGGTCAGTGTCGCCATCCCAGGGCAGACAGGAGAACCCACTGCCCAAGAGAAGGGAGCAGTGTGGTGTGCTTTGGACCAGGGGTCCCCTGCACCGGTAACTTTCTAGACCCAGGAGACGGAAAGCTGTACCAGCAGAGACAATGGAGACGGTGGGAAGCAGATGCAGGAGACTGGCAGGAGATAGTGAGGTGGGCTTCCCGGCCCACAGAGCAGAAGAGCCAAGCATCTTCTGGTGCAGGTGTACTGGTGGGGTGGGCTCTCAGGCCGCAGGACACTTTCCATGAGCAGGCACTGAGGACCACGCAGAGGCCTGCCTGCAGGGATGGCTAGAGGCTGTCCTGAACGAAGAACTGCATCCTGCGTGGTTTCTGATCCTGACGGTTACCAGTTACTTCTCTGACAAACCTGCCTGGTGCGGCATGACCCTGCAGGCCTCCCTGGAACCCAGCGAGGAGGGGAGGGCGAAGGCATGACTGGTGGCAGGCTGGAGGGTGGAATCACTCTGGGGCATGGATCTTGACCCACTCTCCCCAGTGTGAAGTTAGAGAGCTAAGGCCCTCCACTGTGTTGCTTTTCACACTCTGCGGAAGGTATTTGGGGCAGCACCCCCCTCCGCACCCTTGGTGGGTCTGGGATGGATGGGTGGTGAGTTTCACAGAGCCCAGGCCCTCCCTGCCTTCATTCAAGGAGCAATAGGTTGTGGAGAGCGCAAGGGGGGCAGACAGGACCAGGTGGGCAGAGCACTGCTCAGTAGACTGGCCTGAACCTCCTCTTGGCGACAGCCTGGCCCAGCAGTGCTGGGCCCCAAGGCAGGCAGGCATCTGGTGGATGGGCTCTGCGGGTGCCTTGAAGGCCCCTATGGACACTGCGTCCCCCCCCACACCCCACCTTTCCCAGTGCAGGGTGTGGGTGAGGGACCAGGTGGGCCCGGTTGCTCCACAGCCCACGGGGCTGCAACGGCACACTCCTGCTTTGGGCGCACACCCCAGACAGCCGACCTCAGTCCATTAGCGAGTTGGACATGAGATGTCCCTCACTGGCCTCAGTCCCAAGTTCCTGGGTACCAATTCTCCATGCACTCTCCAGGGTGGGAGGGCTCTGCTTGGCATGGAGCCTGCCATAGTCCTGGCCAGACCTCAGGTGTCACCTCTGACCCTGTGGACGCTCCAGGGCAGTGCTCCGAGGGAGTGAGGCAGGAGGGGGAGGTGGCGTCCAGGGTCTGGCCTCCTGACCCAGTTTCCAACCTGGGGTAACCAGAGCCCAGGGCTCATAGAGCCCCCTTCCAGCCACTGCCCTCCTCCTCACTCAGCATGGCCCCTGGCACCTAGTACCCGATGTAGGCACTGTGGCAGCTCTGTGACTAGACTGTGGTACCATCCTCCTGAACAACGCCTGCCGGCACTTGTGCCCCAGGAACATTCATGGCTCATCCGTGTCCAATCCTCCTGATGTACCCATAACTCCTTCTTTCTCGTTAGGAGGGCTTGGGGGGCCAGGGAGGCCGCCACTTGCCCCAAACTGTCCAGGAGCAGGCAACAGCGCTCTTAAATCACCCTGCTCCTCTGCCCAGCCTCCCAAGGTCCCCAAACTAAGGCTGGGGTGGAATGGGGGCGGGACAGAGAGGGCCAAGTGCCAGGAAGGGGCTGCTGCACCCCTGTCTGGGCTCAGGGGCTACCCTGGGGCTTAGCTCCCTGACAAATATCTGCCCACAGGCATTGTTTGCCCAGGGTCTTCCCCAGCCAGTAGAGAGGGATTACAGCCCAGGGACAAGAGGCTGGCTCCTCCTGGTCTTGCAGCACACCAAGGGAAGCAAGAGGTGGCCTCTGCTGGGCCCTGGAGGACAATGCCCAGCAAATTCCCCACAGCACCCTCCCCCACACTTGTAAGGCCGGCTTCTACAGGCCCAGCATCTCTCCACTGGAGCCACATTCAGCACAGGACAACCCCCCACCAACAGGCAGGCAGGCCATGGGGGGCGTGAGGTTCCTGGGGGTGCGCAGGGCTACTTTGTCTCGGTGGCAGACAATGAGAGCCACGTCACCTCTGGGGGCTGCTCCGGAAACAGCCAAGACCAGCAGTGCTTTAGGCTGGACCCTGAGGAGCTGAGAGCCAGCCTGCTGGTCAGTGATAGGGTCACCGCCTGCTGCAGAAGCCACACCACAACCTCACCCAGGCAGTGCACAACTGCGATTGCTGCGGCCCCCAGGACACTTCCCGAGAGGCGGCCTCGGCAGTCACCAACCCGTTTTGCGAGACCCAAGAGGGCAGAGGGGTGAAGTGTTCTGACCAAGGCTGCAGACCCTCTGGATCCCAGATCCCCGGGGCGGGCAGCGGTGGTGGCGCGGGCAACTTGTCCTCGCCCCTCCCAGCATCTCCCCAGCGCGGGGGCCGGGGGGCGGGCTCTGCCGACTACCGCCCAGAGGAAAACAAGGATTGGGGGCGTTCCTGGTGCGGAATGGAGACCGTCGGGGGAGGCAGAGGGGGTCGCACACGAAGGCGGGCTGTCCGGGGACCCAGGGCTCCCCCCAGACAGGGTTCGGGAGATTCGTGGGGACCCCGGGGCGCTTTCTTCAGGGAGCGGCGCCCGGGCCGCCTGCACGCGTGGGTGGAGGCAGACCCCGGGCGCCCCGTCCGCTTCCACTCGGCCCCCGCCCGCGCTCATGCCCTCGGCTCACCCACCGTGCACCAGTCTCCGCATGTCCTGGTAGCGCGCCCACAGGTGCGCGCTGAGATCGGCGCCTCCGGGGGGAGCGGGTCGCGGGGTGCTCGGGCA